TGATGAACATTAAAAGATTAAGATGATGAACATTAACTTAAAATTAATTTTCTAGTATCTCTATGAAATAGTTGGAAATTATTAAGAGATCACAAAACCAGGGTTAAAAATATTAGACTACTACTCATAATTAAGAATCCACTTTGAATCTTCTAGCTCTATTCATTGGGGATTAGAATTCAAAAATTTTAGACCTCTATTTCAGGATGCCATTAGCAACAGAGATTAAAGAATTGTTTACAAAATGAAATGGAACGTAAATTAAAGCTTTAAAGTCAGTGGAATGATTTGAATGCCTGATTTCTTGGGAAATTTGTCAAAGGAAAAAAACGACAGATCAAACTTTCTGAACAAATGTCCAATGACCCTATGTCATCAAAAACATTACAATGAAAAACTCTATTATAAACAAAATTGTTAGACGTTTGCTGTTTCTTAGACCTAGCTTGTTAATCTTAGACTAAATTTATGAAAAAGTTGGACTGTTTATTTATATGCTTTACTTATTTTGAATAGGTTTTTACTATTTGAAATGATTACATTAATTTCTTGTGTTTTCCCTTAAGTTAATCCTGTTTGGTTTTTGTTGTTGTCAGCTTCTTGGTTAGGAATGCAACCTCCAATTAAAATATTTTTATTGTGAGAAAAAAAATATTAACTTTATTCTGTGGTTTCTTGGGTTATTTCACTGCATAACACTAACTTTTGGGTCTGGGAAGATGGAGAACTTAACCTTTTCACTATATTCCTCCTGTTCACTTTGGTATTCTATTTACTACGTACATATTTTTAAAGGGGATTTTTTTAGAAGTTAAAATACGGGATGCATGTAGAATGAAAGTTTTCTTTTTTTAATGGCTATGGTATAAAACACTTTATCCAAATTTTTGTATGTTGGTATTTTTTAATTAGATACACTTGTTTTATTCTATGAGATTGGTAGTGTATAATTTAACAGTGTTGATAAATTATAGGTATGTGTGCTATGTTTATATGAGGGTTTAATTTTTTTGTTATGTGTGTTTTAACTATGTGTGTATATAAATAACTTTTTTTAAAAGATGAAAATATGGAAGGATAGATCTGACAGCTGTATTCCAGACGTTATATTTATAAAGCTAAAACTTCATCATGAGAAATAACTACTGTAATGAAGATCTTATATAACAATGATTTTTAAATGCTCAGTTGATAGTTTGTAAATTCCAGTATAATAATAAAATTGTGATCTGTTCTTAGAGGTCTTTAAAATGGGATCATGTCAAGGTTAAAAATGGTTAAGATTTATTGAATGATTTCTGTGTGCCAGGCACTGAGCTGTGTGCTTTAGGTGTATTATCTTATTTAATCTCCACTGTAGCTCTTTCTATAGTAAAGCAAGACACAGAGATTAACCAGCTTGCCTAAGGTCATATAGCTTGTAAGTGGTTGAATCAGAATTTGCACCTGGCATTCATTCTTCACTGAGTTTTACTGTTTATATTTAATAAATGTTTAGAGTATATAGTATAGTTAAGTATTTAGCTCAATTAAACCTTAGATCATTCAATTAATTTGAGACCCGGAATTGTAAGGAGGCTTGACTGAAAGTTGTGACAGTGCTCGCTCTAGATCATTTGGTTCTTTGGGCTTTTAATCTGGTACTCTTTTTTATGTGGAGACTCTACATTTGTGATTTGTGGAATTGCTTAATCTTCGTCATTATCAGAGAGTAAATAAAGCAATATATGCTATAGTGTGTGCTGTGTACTAGATGAAGTGTATTACCTTTATTAACACAATGGCATTCCATCAGGAGATATCTGTCAATGGATAAAAGTAAAATTTTCAGACAATTTACAATTTAGACCCACATTTCTATTGATTTTTCAAACTTTGTAGAAAAAGCCCTTTAAAACATAGATATTTTAAATATTTAAAGCACAAAAAAGAATAGGAATTATGATTATGTGAGCAGTCTCCAAAAGTGAATGAATTTCATTCTAAAAAGTCTTTGGTAAGTCAGTTATTTGAAATTCATTTTTCTCTCCATAGAAACAAGTATATTAAACTTGGACATGAAATTTTTACCTGAGGCAGTAGCTGAAGTGTAGTGTTCTCTTTTTGGCTGTTTTGAAGCCATCTCTGAATTGCAGAAGCTAGAAACCTTTTGGAGCTTTGAGATCCCCACTGCGTATCTTTGCTGGGTATTCCAGTTCAGTGGTTTGGGATTTATTCCTTCATAGAATTCCTTTACTACCAAAATTCTGAAGTGGTGACTTTTGAGGGATTTTTGTGGTGATAGTTTTGGCATGCGCCAGGGGCTTAGATGTCAAAGCAATCCATGAAAGTGTGTATTAACCAGAACAAAGTATGACAATGATATTTTAGACTAGTATTGTTCAGTAGAAATGTTCTGTCGTTGCATTCTCCAATGCAGTAGCCTCCATCCACATGTGGCTTTGAGCATTTGAAATGTGGTTTTGAAATTGAGGAACTGAATTTTAAATTTTATTTAATTTTAATTAATTTAAACTTAAGTTGTCATATGTCGTTAGTGACCATTGTATCACACTGTGCTGCTTTAAGCTGAAATGTTCTAATGCACCTGAGGTTTTCCAACTTCTTCAGTTTGCAAGTGTATCCATTCAGGTTCCTAACTACTATGGTCCTCAGGCTTTTGAAGTAGGGTATCTTAAAGTCCTCTCTGTTGTTATAGGCAGTGGATATCTTGCTCATACAGATGGATCTTCATTAATTATTTGTAAATCAAATCCTAATTCTGGAGTTTTGCTAAGACATATTTATAGATCACTTAACAAAAATATATATGACTTTCATGGGCTGTGTAATTGTGTCTCTTAAAAATACTCTGTATCTTAGTACTAGTAGATCCTTAACACTACCCAGAATTCTCATGTATTTATCTACTTAACGTATACATAAGACTGATTTTAGCTTAGGGACAAGCTACAGCTATTCAAATAATTGAATAGTCAGACCTCAGAACTTGGTAAATTCAGTTAAACACAAGATTCATTAGAATCTCTTGTGATAGTAGTAGTTCAGCCCTTTATAGTTATTTGAAATTCATTTTTCTCTCCATAGAAACAAGTATATTAAACTTGGACATGAAATTTTTACCTGAGGCAGTAGCTGAAGTGTAGTGTTCTCTTTTTGGCTGTTTTGAAGCCATCTCTGAATTGCAGAAGCTAGAAACCTTTTGGAGCTTTGAGATCCCCACTGCGTATCTTTGCTGGGTATTCCAGTTCAGTGGTTTGGGATTTATTCCTTCATAGAATTCCTTTACTACCAAAATTCTGAAGTGGTGACTTTTGAGGGATTTTTGTGGTGATAGTTTTGGCATGCGCCAGGGGCTTAGATGTCAAAGCAATCCATGAAAGTGTGTATTAACCAGAACAAAGTATGACAATGATATTTTAGACTAGTATTGTTCAGTAGAAATGTTCTGTCGTTGCATTCTCCAATGCAGTAGCCTCCATCCACATGTGGCTTTGAGCATTTGAAATGTGGTTTTGAAATTGAGGAACTGAATTTTAAATTTTATTTAATTTTAATTAATTTAAACTTAAGTTGTCATATGTCGTTAGTGACCATTGTATCACACTGTGCTGCTTTAAGCTGAAATGTTCTAATGCACCTGAGGTTTTCCAACTTCTTCAGTTTGCAAGTGTATCCATTCAGGTTCCTAACTACTATGGTCCTCAGGCTTTTGAAGTAGGGTATCTTAAAGTCCTCTCTGTTGTTATAGGCAGTGGATATCTTGCTCATACAGATGGATCTTCATTAATTATTTGTAAATCAAATCCTAATTCTGGAGTTTTGCTAAGACATATTTATAGATCACTTAACAAAAATATATATGACTTTCATGGGCTGTGTAATTGTGTCTCTTAAAAATATTCTGTATCTTAGTACTAGTAGATCCTTAACACTACCCAGAATTCTCATGTATTTATCTACTTAACGTATACATAAGACTGATTTTAGCTTAGGGACAAGCTACAGCTATTCAAATAATTGAATAGTCAGACCTCAGAACTTGGTAAATTCAGTTAAACACAAGATTCATTAGAATCTCTTGTGATAGTAGTAGTTCAGCCCTTTACAGCAATAACTTACGAAGTTAAAATAATAATTTTCCCTACTGTGGACTAATTCATTCCAAATAACTTGGAAATTAAAAAGCAGTTTTTGTCAGCCAGAGGGTAAAGAGGAATGTGAAGATTGAATTACCTATGCATCTCAGTGTTTTATGTTTCTGCTGTTGAATTTTTGACATTTTTGCTTTATAACTGAACATTAAAAAAATGTTTTGTAAAATTTGTGCAGCTGTGTATATGGGAATCCAGATTCTTTTTTAAAATAAGGCAATTCAGATGTTTTTAAAAAATAATGTTTATTCTAATGCATTTGTTTTTTAAGTCCAAAGAATTATCAACATACTAGATTATAAATTTCTGAAGTCAAGGACTAACTCATCTTTGTTTTTTTCCTAGAACTTAGCACATTATCTTGAATACAGAGGCAATGAGTAATTTTTTAATAAATTAATCTCTGATCAAATTATTCAACTGATTTTCTTTTCCTTTTAAGTTCTTTGATAAAAACCCAGAAATATAAAAACTAACAATATTTAAAATTATGGGTTTTTTTAATGTAAATAATATCTGGAATGTGAATAGGTAACAGTTAAAGATTAATGTCACTTAGCATTTGAAAATTCAGACTTACTAAAATAATATGTTATGAGGTGATTACTCACTTCTGCAAAAAGATGCTTTTAAAAAATTGTGTAATTTAATAATTCAGACTTCTTCAAGTGGTAAGTGCTTAATAAAATCATTTTACTTACTAAATTTTTGTTCATTCAGAAATAACCAATTATGTAAAGTGAGTTATAGGTATATGTCAATTGAACTTTTTATAGAAAAAAATTAAATATGTATACATCTAATTTAAGAAGATCCACTCTAATACTAGGTATCTTTCTTTTATAGGAAGGAAAACTGAGATATAACTTGCTGCTTTATTTTGGAGTCACATGGTGAGTTTGGAGATTAAAATTAGATCCAAGAATTTCTGAATCCCAAGTTTCATGTTTCAATATTTGGCATTACTTAAAGTGACTCATAAAATTGATTGATATCATGTCTCAGTACTTAGGTGACAATTTACAGAAAGCCAACTCTGCAACTTGATGGGCGACAACCCTTTTCAACCAAAAAGTAAGTGTTGCTGCCACTACTGATACTAGTATCTGTGGCTTTTGTACTGATAACTATGCTTCCAGAGAAAGGATGAGAGGCAGGCACATTTTCTTAAAGACAAAAACATTAAAATTGTTAACAGATGGTCACATAAAAACAATATAAATTAAAAAGTAAAGTAGAAATGAAGTGTTTTCTCCCTGTGCCCAGTGATAACTGCTATTGTCAGTTTGGTATACACAGTCTCATATGCTGCTTCTATGAACAGACAAAAAATTATCATTTCTACGAAAAATCATAAAGCTTTGTGTGTCTTTTAAACATTTTTCTCAAGAATTTATCCTGGGTATATTGACAGTAGCATTGTCCTGTTAAAATGAATGAGGAAGACCGTTGTCTTCTATATTAGTTTGCTAAGGTTGCCATAACAAAGTGCCATAGACTGGGTGGCTTAAACATCAGAAATTTATTTTCTCACAGTTCTGGAAGCTAGAAGTACAAAATCAAGGTGTTGGCAGGGTTAGTTCCTTTGAGGGCCTTGAGGGAAGAATCTATTCCAGGCCTTTCTCCATGGCATATAGGTAGCCACCTGCTTCCTATGTCTTTAGATGATTTTACTCAAGCATGTACTTATATCCTCATCTCTCCTGTTGAGGACACCAGTCATTGGATTAGTGCCCGCCCTAGCAACCATAAAGGCCCTGCCTCCAAACAGTCACATTATAAGGTACTGGCATTGAGGACTTTAACACAGGGATTTTGGGGAAACACATTTCAGCCCATAAGATATACCAACTGGAAATAAATGATTGCTTTATTATCAGTATACAGTGAGTTTCCCTAATTTAAAAAAATGAGAGATTGCCTGACTTTGCCTACTTTCCTAGTCTATACATGATTATATAGTATGTGCTTATTGCTAATATAGTGTCTAGAGGGAAATACGCTTTCAAGAAGCTAAGTTTGGCTTTGGACATATAATAATAATATATGTATATATATATANAGAAGAAAATACGCTTTCAAGAAGCTAAGGTTGGCTTTGGACATATAATAATAATATATGTATATATATATATATATATATATATACATGTTTTTTTGGTATCATTAATGTACAATTACTTGAACATTATGGTTACTAGACTCCCCCTATTATTAAGTCCCCGCCACATACCCCATTACAGTCCCTATCCATCAGCGTAGTAAGATGCTATAGAATCTTTCCTTGTCTTCTCTGTGATATACTGCCTTTCCCATGTCCTCCCCCACCCCCCGCTACATTATGTGTGGTAATCGTAATGCCCCTTTTTCCCCCTTATCCCTCCCTTCCCACCCATCCTCCCCAGTCCCTTTTCCTTTGGTAACTGTTAGTGCATTCTTGGATTCTGTGAGTATGTTGCTGTTTTGTTCCTTCAGTTTTTTTCTTTGTTCTTTTACTGCACAGATGAGTGAAATCATTTAATACTTGTCTTTCTCTGCCTGGCTTATTTCAATGAGCATAATACCCTCTAGCTCCATCCATAGACATATAATAATATTTTTAATATCTGACTTGAATAATTAGTAAAACAGTATTCTTTAGAAAAGAAAGGGATCAATTTGTGACGTTGATAAAATGGAAAGGTTTTTTTTTTGGTAGGTGGACTACTTGAACATTTAAAAAATGTTAGGGCAGGAAATGATTTATAACATACTTTTATAGAAGGGAAAATGTGTTTAAATTTATGAGAATCACACCCTTGATAAGGTATTTCTTTTTTATGCCATCCCTAAGACATTGTTTTGAGTAGTATCTTTTGAGACCATGGTAGAACACTGTCTCAATTTTGAATAAAAAATGGAAGTGGCATTCCTTTAATGTAGTAAAAAATTACCTTTAGAAATGACTATATTTAAATGATAAATTGAAGATTTTATTGTCTATTGTTTTTCCTTTTGTAGTCTTTCCCGTCTCATTTCATGTCTTTTTAAGCACCACTTGTATCTATCTCCATTGCTATAACTTTAGGCCCTCAGTAGTATTTCTCTTTCTTCCCCTCCTTTTGCTCTCCCTTTCTTCTCCATCTCAGCTTAGAGCAATATAAGCATGTCATTAAAGCAGTATATGTGCAATACAGGCAAAAAGCAATATATGCACAGTGTCAACCTGAAAGACTTTTAATGGCTTTACCCCAGTTTCTTGAAGTCCTTATGTACATGTGTATTTGTGCTGTGTATTGCATAATCAATTGAACCACTTAATAATATCCTGTCATGAGGCTTCTTGCTTACAACTACCCCTTCCTTCCCTCCAAGTATCTCCCAGTATAATTATTATCTCAATTTTTTGTTAAATCTGTATTTGATATTTTCATTACAGTAACTGTAAAATATTGTTCAGTGAAAAGCATAAGTAATATGCTATTATACATAGAATAGCATGAAGGGATGCATTTCTTTTTACTTTTTTTTTCTTTCTTTCTTTTGATTTATCCAGCAATTAATGCTTTTCATGTTCTTTTATTTGCTAAGGTTTAATAAAATCTATAGCAGTCTTCCCACACCTTTAGTAGCCTTTCAGTTAAATTTTTTACACAGTAAAACTCATCAAGTAGTCTAAAAGTTTACATTTTAGTCTTTTTTTTTTTTTGGTTTCCTAGAGACCTTTCTCCTGAAATATTGCTCTCCTGATCTAGTCTGGACTGGTTGTGCTCTAGGCCTACTGAACTTCTGTTGATTTGGGGTTTTGTAGTGTGTTGAATGCTATATTCTCTACATCCTGTATTTTCCTCTTTGTTAAGCCTCATGCTTTGGTGGACTTCGTAGTAGCTTTCTGAGCACGGGTACAGGGAAGTAAATCTTGGTGTGATGTTGCTGGTCTTTACTCTCACACTTGATGAAAAACTTGACGGGGTATAGAGTTATAGATTGAAAAATAATTTTGCTAAGAATTTTTAAAGTATTATTCTACTGTTGCCAGTTTCTGTTCTTACTCTTACTTGTATATGATTTCTTTCAGGCCCTCCCTACTCTGCTTTCCCTGGCAGATCTGAGGATATTCTCTTTATCTCTTTTGTTCTGACATTTCATGATGATAATGTCTTTGTGTAACTTTTTTCTTGATCATTGTGCTGGGTACTAGTGGGGCCTTCCAACCCAGAGATTTATGTTTTCTGAGTTGGGAAATTTTCTTGCATTATTTCTTTGATAACCTACCTTGCTTTTTCTGTATTCTCTTTCTGTAAAACTTAGGTTAATGTTGTACCTTTGAAATTTATTTTCTAACAATCTTTTGTCCTCTATTTAGTTTATGTATTTGTATATACGTGTGTGTGTGTGTGTGTGTGTGTGTGTGTGTGTGTGTGTGTTGTCTGTTCTCTATCTTTTCTACCTCTTGGGACATTTTCATTTTTGTAAAACTGAATTCCACAATTTGGCCATCATTTTAATCCTATTTTTTGTTTTCTGAATATTACTTTTTATAACACTTTTTCTTGTCTTATATCAATATGCTAATTATATTGCCTTTAATATTTTTATTGCTCTCTGGATTATCTCTTTTCCTTAGGATTCTTTATCTGTTTTATTGATTTGGTCTAAAAGGAGATTTTTGTAAAATTTCTGGTGCTTATTGATTGTCCATTCATATGTAAGAGTGAGGTACTAAAATGCCTCATAGGAGCTCTGTATTTGGTCAGAATTTCTAGGAGGGTGCTATTTACTGAGTATTCTTTGGTCTCTTTTTTTCAGATGAGAAATATCTAATTTGATGGAGTAAGCCTCAATTCTGTCATTTTTTTTCTATCACCTCATCGTAAGCAAACTGAATTTGGTTCAGTTTTTCTACTATATCTCCCACCTGTTGCCTCTTATTCTTAGTTTTGTTAGCCTGTTTTGTCCCACCTGTTAGCCTCTTTTGTTAATACTTTTTTTTTTGTAGATAATGGTTAAGTATAATCCTTTTTGTAGATACAATCATATTCCAGGCATGTGACTGAAGCTTACTTTGTTTCTAACTATTCTGTTCACTGTAATAACTACTGTCAATCATTATCTGTCAATCAGTCATCTCTAGTTTATATTTTAGAGTCAGCTCAGAGTTTCTCACTGTTGCTACCATATACCAATTACAAATATCAATTCCGAAATTGCTATTTGGATTATTAATGTAGATTTTTACATATTATACCATGTATTATAAAAGATGTATCTATTTTTCTTCTTGAAAACAAGGTTTTCTTCTCTCCTTTTGAAAATCAGATAATTCAAAAATGGCAGAACTCTTTATGGAATGTGAAGAGGAGGAATTGGAACCATGGCAGAAGAAAGTGAAAGAGGTTGAGGAGGATGATGATGAGCCCATCTTTGTTGGAGAGATACCAGGTTCCAAACCAGCAATTTCCAGTAAGCATTTTTTCTAGTGAAGCCAGATTGTATAAGATACTGTTTCTAATGGACAAAACCTGTGAAACCGACTTATAGGTACTTAAGTCCTTGTTCCTCTTTAAGGAGCTGAAGATGACAGATTAGATGGGAGATGGTTTAGAATTTTAGAATTAGGGTGGGGATGTGATTGGGGATTTGAGGAAGGAGATCAGAGGATAGAATACCAGGTGGGAGAAAAACAAACAGGCCAAGATTAGCTGGTGGCATTGGAGTTCTATTGATATTGGAAATCATAATTTTAAGTGGAGCCAAATAACCTGTTTATCTGTTTGATCATTTATCTTTTTTTTTTTTTTTTTTTTTTTTTTCCATTTAAACCCAGAAGTAGAGAAATGGAAGGGTTTAGAATACTTTGCTTAAAATGTCAGAACATACTAAATAAGTCTGTGTTAGTCTCAGATAAGGGTTCTCATATCCAGGCAGCTGCCTCATTGCAGTGTCATCCATACGTAGCTACAAAATGTATAGGCAGTGAAAGGTTGCGCAGTCTCGGGCTTGTATGCCAGGAGAGGCTACAGCTTCTGACCACACCCATCTTCCTGCAACCTGCATTTATGTTTATGAAAGAAAAGGACGCTGTCTACATCCACTGTACTTTAATGATAAAACAATTAATTAACACTTAAATCCTTTATGGCTTTCTAGTAGAACACTTTGGTGCCTTACTGGATTGATTGTTAGAATTCCGTTAGAGTAATTGGATTTGACATTGTTACACTGTTAAATACCAATGACAATTTTTAAAAATGTCCACACAGAAACAGAACAGAAAATAGCACATATGTTTCAGAGGAAAAAGAGAAAAATAGATCCTTTTCCGTTGCATTTTCGTGTTTGTTTGTTTGTTTAAGCCAGGAGAATTTATCAAAGATATAGTTATTAGTGTTTTCTTACCAAAGCAGTGCTTAGAAAGTGTGATTAAGACACTACTTTTATATTTTCTGAAAGTCTAGTTCTTCTATTGCCCCTAAACTTGGTAGAGCACTTTTATTCGGTTTTATCAGAGGGAGAATAATTTAACCAATTGAATTCTCAATACCATTCATTTCCTGTGGCAGTTTTATAATCTCTCTTGGAGGTTTTTAAGTGGAGTGCCACTTGATTATAAACTGAACTAGGCATGATGGCATGCTTGTTGATCATACTGGAACATAATTATATATTCTCTTACTGTTTCTAGTCATTGTGATAATTTTATACTAGAATATACTGGAATATAGTGGAAAAATATACTGGAGTATTGCAAAATTATTATTCAAATTCTTTTGCTGAAATCATGATGCTTTAGATTCAAGTTGAATTTATACTGATTGAACTGTTAACAGTATTCAACTAGAACAGGGTATAATAGTTTTTAAATAATTCTGCTGAAAGGGAGATTGACCCCAATAGAATTTCTTTACTGAACTGTTAAAATGCAGAATTTAAATGATTTTGTTTTTGTGTAAGCCATAAAATATTTTAACGTGAAATATGAGTTAGATGTTTATATAGAACTGCCAGAAAGAAAGGTTAAAAACATGTTTCATAGTCTACAACCACCAAAAAGCACTTTAGCAATAGTTCTTTAATGGTTTGAATAAATACTTGAATTTCTGAATGAAAATGGTATCAGGTTGTTTGAGCAGATTTTTCTCCTGTAAGGCATGTGTAGTGCTTAGGTATGGAGCACTGCATTGCCATTATGAGAAAACAGTCCTACTTTTTTGTGACCCTTTATAGAATTTCTTGGATCTGGTTCTTTTTACTATGAGGGGAAAAAATAGGAAATTTTTATGAGGTTTGGTAGTAGTGCTTTTACCTTTTTTTGACCAAAAATTATAAGCAAATTCCCCACTCTTCCAAATTTTAATTTGATTATTGGATAGCCTAGAAGTTATAGAGTCACATGATGCTAGAATTAGGAACTTTAAAATCATTCTGAAAGTCATATTAGGCTCAGATTGATTTCCTTTTACATTATGAGATACTCTGGTAAACTGTAGGTTCATTTTAGCCTCCAACCTTTCCAACCTTGTAGTTCCCATTTCAGAACGCAAGAGTGGTGATGCAGATAATCCAGTGAGCCCCTTGTAATGACACTTTAAGGCTTTTCAGGGTGTTTTAATGGGTTATGGGAGTTGGACAAGGGTTTGATTTTGAATATTAAGAACCTGAGTGTATCTACAGCCCTATCATCATTCAATGAAAGATATAATGCTTCAATTTTCAGGGTTTATGTATGTATTTTTAGAAAATTTTGCCAATTATGTAGACTATTTCTTTGCTATTCAGAAGGTTCAACTTACATGTAGTCAAATTTATCAATCTTTTACTTTTGGATTTTGAGTACAGTTTGAAAAGTTGTTCTTATTCTGTAAAAGAACTAAGGCTGGTAATCTTGTTTCATTAGTAGATAAAGATATATATGTTTCAAATTAACTGTTATCTTCAGTCAGTGATAATTTATATACTCCTTTCAGGAATCTGTTTTCAATTCATGATTTCTGTTCTCTTAATATATATGTCATTCAAACAATGAGTTTTAAAATAAATATAATTTTTTGTAGATATTTTGAATAGAGTAAACCCCAGCTCATATTCAAGGGGAATAAAGAATGGTGCACTCAGTCGAGGTATAGTATTATTTTACTATTTTAATTTTAAAGTAAATTATTTTGATATCATCGATTATTTAGAAATATATTCAATATATTGTGTAATTTTAAAATACAGGTATTACTGCTGCATTCAAGCCTACAAATCAACACTACACGAACCCAACATCAAATCCAGTGGCTGCCTCACCAGTAAATTTTCATCCTGAATCTAGATCTTCAGATAGTTCTGTTATTGTTCAGCCTTTGTCCAAACCTGTAAGTGTTTCTGAAACTACACCGTCAGCTCAGGGATACCTTGGATATTGCTTACCAATATTAACCATACCAGTTAATGTTCTGGACCGTCATGGGTAGGTCATCCAATAGAAGCATAATCAGCATCAGAAAATGCCACCATCTTTATGATAGCTCACCCAGTTCCCACAGTAATAACTGCAAAAGCTGCCCAACCTGTTCTTAAATCAGGTAATATGCTTCAATTAGATAGGTGCAGTATTGAAAACTGTACTATCAAAACAGTAGTGTAAGTATAACCAGTAATGAATATTGCATAATGGCAAATAACTTAAGATTGTAAACTGGGTCTAGTTTTTCTTATTTCCTAATTGGGAAAATTGTTTAGGGACTGTGATAGCTTTTTAATCTGAAACATAGTTTAGAAAACTCTTAACAAAAAGTAATAGTTAATAGTTATTGAACTGTTAATATATACCACTTTGTGCTAAATGCTCTGTATAAACTAATCTCATTTAATTCTTAAACATCCCTGTGAAGTAGCCTATTACTCCTGTTTTATAGTTGAGAAAATTGAGGCTCACAGAGCTTAAATTATTTACTCAAGGTCACACAGCTCAAGTGATAGATCTGGGATTTCAATCCAGGCTAACCCATAGTTTGTAAGTACTTGCATACATATATACATACATGCTGTGTAAAAATATATACTTTAAGAAAAACGGAAGCTTTGCCTTAGGGCAACAGTTTTCAAAGTGTAGTCTTTAGTCCTTTGTGATTCCCCTGACTCTTTCATGGATTTGAGAGTCAAAACTATTGTTGTAACAATTAAAGACACTATTTGCTTTTTTCACTGTATGAAAATTTGCACTGATGATACAAAAGCATTGGAGGGTGAACTGCTGATGCCTTGGTATGAATCAAGACAGTGGTACCAGGCTGTACTAGTAGCTTTTATTTAGTCACCACCACACACTCACAATAAAAAATAGTCCAGTTGTACGCAATTTCCTTGATAAAATGTTATTGTGTTAAATCTCTACCTTTGAATATGTACCTTTTAAAAATATTTTGTGTGGTGAAATACATATAAAGCACTTCTGTGTCTAATGTATGACGTTTTCTTGAGGAAAAGCACTTGTGTGATTGAATTGTGAGCTAAACTACCCACTTTTTAAAAATAGAAGACCATTTTTACTTGAAAGAATGACTGGCAGACCATGGTGTATTATTTATTTTTATGTATCAGTATTACCACAAAGTTCATGGTTTAAAACCATGTATATTTTTTATCTCACAGTTTCTGTGAGTCAGGAGTCAGGTTATGGCTTAGCTGGATCCTCTAGTTCAGTCTACATTCAAGGTGTGGGCTGTGAGGTTGCATTTTCATCTGAAGTTTGGGGAAGTATCCATTTTTAAGTTCTCATGATTATTGGCAGCAGTCAGTTCTTAAGGGTTGTCAGACAGAGTCTCACTATTTTACTGGCTTTTGGCTTGCCAGGTGGGTATTCTGAAATGCTTCTTGCCATGTAAGAGAGAAGCCTTAGCAATGATGGCGTTGTAATCTTATGTAATGTAATCACATATACAAAATCATGTATAGCCTGTCACCTTTGCTGTCTTCTATTGGTAGAAACAAGCCACATGTCTTGTCCATACTCAAAAGAGAGATGATCATACAGGACATAAACACCGTGGGTTGGAATCACATGTCTGTCCACCACACATAGTGAGGTGGTCATTTAGTCTTGGTTATTTGGCAGATGTTTCCTCAAAATTGAACAAAGTGTACCATCACTAAAGGAAAACAACTGATAGCATTTCTTGCCAGTGATAAAAATTAAGCTTTCAAGCAAAAATTGGAATTCTGTTAAACTTGTATTTGTCTCCACGATCCTGACTGCTTCCCAGTACTTAAAGACTTTTCTGATGGTAGTATTATTATTAAATATGATTTTTTGGTATTATATAATGAACTCTGTCAGCATTTGGAAGATTTATATAATTCAAAGAAACCAGTATTTTCCAAAAAACCATTATATGATGTTACAAAATCATGCATGGATAAAAGATCCATTCAAAGTGTAAAATAGACCAATAGATTTTAATATAACAGAGTGGAAGAAGTTCAGTGATAGGGACTCAGATTCCACATTGTAACACACCTTTAAGAAAACTATCAGCTGGTGAGTTTTGGTATAGTATCAAAGAAGTATATCCACAGTTATCCTACATTGCTGCTAAAATACCCCCTTTTTCAACTAAATATCTTTATGAAGCCAGATTTTCTTTATTTTTCAATCAAAATAATATGTCATAACAGTTTGAAAGCAGAAGCAGAAATGAGACTACAGCAGTTTCTGATTAAGCTAGACATTAAAGAGCTTTGCAGAAATGGAAAACAATGCCACTCTTCACTAGTTTTTTGTTTACTTGCAAAGTAGTCACTTTTCATAAAAATGTTATTTATATTAAATTAATGGATTTATTATTATTTAAAATGAAATTAATAAATATTTTTAACTTTTTCTGTTTCAATTTCTAACATGGTAAATATCAGTAGGTATAACTCAGCTAAATAAAAACTCTTTTGGGTCCTCAGTAATTTTTAAGTGTATAAAGCAGACCAAGAATTTAGAGTACTAAGGCAGTTACCCAAAATGTAAAGATTCTTTGCTATTAGTTGGAATCTAATTGATTAGTAGTTTTTTTTTTTTTCACTTATCATAAGCTATTTGGCATTGGACTTGGAGAAATAGTAAATTTTCCCTAAAATATTTGTTCTTCTAACAAAAATGGTAAACAGCTACCAAAGCACTTTGAGGACAAAGGAAACATCTACCAAATACTTTTACTATGAATAATCCACAAAGGAAACATATACCAAATACTTTTACTATGAATAATCCACTTTTCCTACATTTCATATCATATTATCAATGTAACCTATACATCTGTTAGCACTAAAAATTGATATTTTGAGGTAGTATCTTTCATAGAAGAGTTATTAAATTTAACTTTACATAAAAATGAAAAAGAAGGCTATAGACTTTTTAATCTGTGACTAAATAAATTCAACTCCCACTTATATTTTCATATTATAAAAAATATGAATATTTTTGGGTAAACATCCTTTTCCCTGCCCCTTAATCTTCTATGGTTTCAGCAATCTGAAGTTAATAATTAATAGTGATAAAAGCCCTAGTCCAGGGCTAAGTTTAAAACTTAGATTGAAATAAGAGACTTGAATGATGATTCTGCCTTGTTCTTAAGCATTGTCTAAACCTCCTGAGCCTCATTTTCTTCATTTCTAAAATGAGAGATTTTTATCAAGATCAGTGACTCTTAATCTTGGATCTTAAGGTTCCCAGGCTATTTCTAATGTTTCAAAAGATGAAAAGCTACCCAAAACTTAGATCCCTTGATACTATTTGGAATCAGATTAACTCAGTGGTTTACTCATGCTTTTCATAAGATATTTGGCATTTGGGGAGTAGAAAACTGGAAAAAGAAACTTCATTATTTAATTCAAAAAAAATTAACAAAGTGAATGGTGGTGTCTTTGGTGTTATAAAAGTTCAAAACTAGAGCTTCATCTAACTCAGAATGTTTCATTTCTGCACATAGTTTTTAATTCAAAGCACCTCAGTTTGTGGTTCCCAATCTTGGAGAGATTTTGCCAATTGGTCTGGGTGGGTTTTGGAAGTGACATATTGTAAAAAAAACCCTCCAAGTGATTGGTATGTGTAGTCAAAGTTAAGAATAATGGAGATATATTTTGGAATGAATTGCAAATCCTATAAAAGAGCATTTGCTATGAATTTTTGAAGCCACTGCTTTTAATAAATTAAAATTATAGTTTTTCATTGTCATATCTTGTGTGTGTGTGTGAGAGAGAGAGTTTATTTTTCATGGAATGTCTCTACTATGCAATGTCTCTACTACAACATCTTTTTCAGATCTCTTTTGGTAGCAGGGATATAAGTTATAAAGTCAGCTTAAGGGTGTAGGCTCTGTAATCAGACACACCAGGTTTATTATAATTATACCTCCATCACTAACAGGGCTAGCTGTACTGGGAACCTTACCTGATTTATACTCCATATTTATAAAATGGAATTACAAAATTAAATCTTTATTAGTAATATAATAACCACTTGACTTAATATATACATTTACCATAAAGTGCAAGTACATTTAAAATACAACTGTGGCTATTATTTAAGTTTGAAAGGTGAATAACTTGAAGCTCAGGAGTGACTTGTCCAAGGTTACATATAGTTAAATAAATGTGCAGATCTTCTGAATCTCAGTATACTACCTATATTCTACCCTTACTATTATATTTGATACCTTTCTGAACTGTTTCATGAGAAATTAAAAATACCCTGTTGGAGAATTATTTTAGCCAGTTATTGTTGAATAACATGTGCCTGCTTTCTGAAATTGTAGTGCCTAATTAACCAGAGTTGTTCCTAAGAAAGTATTTAACAGTATTCACTTCATATTTGTGTTGAAGAACTATTTTGGAAAATGGAAGTAAATGTTTTCCATTTTTTTAAGTGCAAATTTTTGGAGAAAATATTTATCTTGACGTGACTGTGCTTGGTTTCATTTAAGTCATATGACATTGCTAATTTTTTTGTGCTATATGTTAAGGCTCAAATGCAGGTATCTGCCTGATAGGCCTTAAATTCTAGGAGTGGTTTGGGTTACTTCAATGCCTGTTACTGTGACTTCTTTTCTTTTTAAGCAACAACATTCAATCATTTAGTCACAAATGGGCAATTTGTGCAGGGTATGGTGAGGAAGGCTTATCTCTTTTTAATGTAAAAAAAATTTTTATTAAGGTATTATTGATATACACTCTTATGAAGGTTTCACATGAAAAAGCAATGTGGTTACTACATTTACCTGTATTATCAAGTCCCCACCCATACCCCAATGCAGTCACTGTCCATCAGTGTAGTAAGATGCCACAGATTCACTATTTGCCTTCTCTGTGCTACACTGTGTTCCCC